GTTGTTCTTGTTGCTGCTGCTGCCGCTGTCACTGTTGTTGTTGTTGATGATGATGATGCTGTTGCTGTTGCTTTTGTTGTAAATTTATTTTTGCTTTTTTTTGTGGGGATGGGGAGGTTCGTCCGTTTTTTTAAGGGGGGGAGGGGGCTACACCCCCAAAGACCCAATTCGGCTCAAAAGTATGGAATTGGAGGTGTAGGCATTTTTTAAACTTCCTCAGCCTCTCTTACAATTATTTCATCGCATAAGAACCTCCCAAAACCACTTTTGTTCCTATACCGGACCATTTCCTCATAAAGTCAATATTTTATTTTTCTGTATCGGCCGTTTTCTCAAAATGCTACTTTTTTCTATACTTTTTTTAATAACTGCACCATTTTTCCTCCAATCTTCATGACATTTTCACAGAATGAAGGATGTAATACTAAAAATGTGTTGGTTGACTTTTTGATATATAGAAAGTATTTTTTTGTGGTGTCTGGAATGTGGATTTTCACGGATGTTTTGCAAATGTGAATGCTACCTCAGTAAAAAATTCATTAACAAATTTCTAATTCCTTTAGAAAAAAAAAACAACAGACAAATTTTTAGATCTAATGTTTGTTAATATGCTTGTAAAAAAAACAACAACAAAAAAACAATCAATTTCCATGAGCAATAAGTGCGGTATTCATTACGTAAGACATGACAACAAAATCCAATATGGCCGCCGTATCCATGGAAACAAAAGTTTTTCCCCAAATTTGAGTGTGGCTTTTAAGACTCCTTACCATGCTTGTTATATGTGCGAAATTTGGTACAATTTGGACCAGTAATAAGCGAGATACCCTTCAGGTGTAGCCCCCCCCCCCCCTTAAGGAGGAAAGTGAGGTGGGAGGAGAGGCAATCTTTTTATTTGTTGAGACTTTTTTTTTGTAATAAGATTTAGAGATGCAGAAGACGGGCAACAGCATCTGTTATGTAGCGATGAGGCTTTTTGCTGTCAAACAGAAGAAAATCATCGAGTATCTATGTCTTTCTGCTGGGATGCTGTATCTCTCTCAGCCTGGGCTGGTTCTGACAAGGAAGATCGGAAGCCCGCCTCCTAAATGACCTTAAATGTGTCGATGAGGGCGATTAAAAAACCCCATTAAAGAAAAGAAAATGAACTTTTAATGAGGAACAGCTTGTAGATAAAACATGCCATCTGTAATTTGATTGAAGTGGCCGTTTATATATATATATATTATATATGCACACATTTATATATATATATAAATATGTATATATATATATATATATATATATATATATAAATATGTGTGTGTGTGTGTGTGTGTGTGTGTGTGTGTGTGTGTGTGTGTGTGTGTGTTTGTGTTACGATGCGATGGATCAGGCGCTTGCCAAAGTATTGAAATGGAAGAAATCGACATTTTTTAGCCAGTCGGGCAATTTTGATCATTTTGTTGTTGTTGTTTTGTGTTAGGTCCATTAATAAAACCCATTCCTGTCTGGATTTTACTGGACCAAAAAATCCCCCGCTTTTTAATTGTAAATTTGGGGTTTCCAAGGACATTACCCATGATACTTAACGACAACAGAGAAAGAAAAAGCTGTAAAAAAGGACTTGCTTTGTTTTATTCTGCCTGTAGCCATTCAAGTTTAAAGTTTTATTGTGATCGTTAGCGAGTTTTTAATTGCGTTCTACATTTTATTTATGCACGTACTGTTAGGCTCAGTGCGTGACCAATTTTCTCCTATAAATAAAAAAAAATACTTTGACATATATACATAACATTATGTTATACGTACATGTCAGGTCAGCCTAGTGCTGCTACCATAATAACAGTAGATGGTACTACCTGCAGCTGTTCCTACTTCCTTGTAGGTGCATACGGGAGTATGAAAGGCTAAGGGAGTAAACCCTAAACAAATCCGGAGGGAGGGCCCCTAAGGCAGTTGACAGGGAGGAACGATCCGAACTATCTTCTGGCAGCTCCTGCAACTTTACTGGTTCCAAATGTATTGACCTTGTCTCTCCTTTGGACTAAATCAGTTAAGTCGAGAGGGGGCTCGTGCAAATTGGGCAAGGCACGTTCTCCATATAGTCAGGCCCAGGCATTTAGCTTAGTCAAGGTTTCAAGATTTCTGGGAGGACGCTGCAAGAGAGCAAATACAGCGGATCAGACCCACAGCTCAACCACTGCTACAACAGCATTTATATGATTATGGAGAGGACACTTCATCTTTGTTGTGACGAGCAAGGGAAAAAACACGGGAGGTGGCAGTTTACGGGTTATAAGACATCCTTATTTGGCGAAATAGGATGTCGCCACGGGCCACCTTTGACGATGGGAGTGACTATTCAGTCGCACTGATCAGCTACCGCCCATCTCAAACTGGGCAGCCCCCAGTCAGTAAGGTGCTGATCCGCCACGTCTGTTTGCTTCTATGGGTGTATGGAGATAGGACAAAAACCGAAAGGCAGACGTTAAATCAAGCACCAGGCAAACAAAGAGTAAAACTAACCCATGGAAACTGGGGACCTGGAATGTTAGAACAATGACAACCGGATTGGACACTACAAACCTGGAGAAAACAGAAGACATCAGAAAGACAGCAATCATAGACAGGGAGCTCACACGACTCAATGTAGACATCACTGCCCTGCAAGAGACAAGACTTGCTAACTCTGGTACCATTAGGGAAAGAAACTACACATTCTTCTGGAAGGGTCTTGGGGAAGATGAGAGGAGAATCCATGGTGTGGGCTTTGCAGTACACAACAGAATGCTGAACAGGATCAGCACCCCCAAGGTATATCCGAACGTATCACTGTCATGGAAATGGAAACCAAAACTGGAAAGGCTCACTTCATCAGCGCCTACGCCCCAACCCTAACAACAGAAAATGAGAAAAAAAGACCAGCCTTACGAGGAACTTCAGGATGCAATCAACAACGTCCCAAAAGCAGACCACCTGTTTCTCATGGGCGACTTCAATGCAAGAGTGGGTACTGAAAACAAAGTATGGCCCACTTGCCTTGGACCTTTTGGGTTGGGAAAAATCAACGAGAATGGTTAGAGACTCTTAGAATTCTGCACAAATAACAACCTTTGCATCACTAACACCTTCTACAGTGGCAAGGACAGACACAAGGTTTCTTGGTGCCATCCAAGATCAGGCCATTGGCACCAAATCGACTTCATCATCGTCAGAAAGAAAGATGCCAACATGGTAAAGCAAACAAGATCCTTTAACAGTGCAGACTGCAACACAGACCACCTTTTAGTTATAGCTAAGGCACAGATAGTCACAAAGAAAACACCAAGAGCTGAAAAACAAAAGAAACGTAAGATCAACATAAAAAATACCAAAGACCCAGCGTTAAAGGCAAAATTTCAAGAACATGTTAAAGAAGAGCTCCAACGTCTAGATAGCTCATCCCCAGACATCATGTGGAATAGCATGAAATCAACAATTTATAATTCTGCGTCGATTACTTTTGGAATAGAAAGACCTTGCAAGGAGGACTGGGTTGAAGCCAGTGCATCAACACTTGCACCTCTACTCGAGAAAAAGCGTAAGATCCTGATAGAACACAACAAAAATCCAACAGAGAACACAAAGCAACAGCTACGTGCCGCTAAATCCAACCTTCAAAGAGAAACCAGAAAGTGTGCCAATCAGTACTGAGACAAGTTATGCTTAGAAATCCAACAGGCAAGCTTTTCAGGTAATATCAGGAAAATGTACGAAAACATCATAGTTGCTATTGGACCAACAGCAAACAAAGTGGCACCTCTAAAGTCTGCGACAGGTGAACAGCTGACAGACAAGAAGGAACAAATGGAAAGATGGGTGGAACATTATTCAGACTTATACTCAAAGAAACGACATGTTGATAAACAGCTGCATGAGGCCATTCCTCAGCTCTCCGAAATGTCAGAATTTGATACAACACCAACAGAAGAAGAACTCTCCTCTGCAATCCATGAACTCGCTTGCAGAAAAGCAGCAGAAAATGACAACATACCTGCTGAAGTACTGAAAGAGAACAAAGAGACCCTCCTCCCATATCTCTACAAGCTACTAACGACTTGTTGGCAGAAAGCAGAAATTCCACATGAGATGAGAGATGCCAAAATTATCACACTCTACAAAAACAAAGGGGACAAAGGAGACTGCAACAACTACAGAGGTATCTCACTGCTAAGCATCACTGGAAAAGCTTTCGCTAGGATCATCCTGGAGCGACTTCAGAAACTAGCAGAAAGAGTCCTACCAGAGAGCCAATACGGTTTCAGATCAAACCGCTCAACAATG